AATTGCTACGCCCATTTCCTTTCGGTAATGGTTAAAGCTATTTGTTTCGTTACCTTTTTATGGTTAAAGCATTTTGCTTTATTGCTTTTAATAACAAAAAGCGCTTGCTTCGTTACTTTTCGAAATTAATGCGCTTTTACGGTTACCCTTTAAAAAAGGGAAACGCTTGCTTTGTTACTTTTCGAAACTAATGCGCTCCTATAATTAATTTTTAAAAGCGCGGTAAACTTTTAAATCCTACGTTATTAACATAGCAACCTAATTTTTTTTATTTTATTTATAAATAACCCAAAAGGCTTGCTTAAAGGGTATGTTACAAAGTAAATAGTATATATTGTTATAAAAAAGCTTTAAGCATAAATATTAAATGCTTAAAGCATCGGAAAAGCGGTCCCTTTGCTTGGAAGCGTATAACGCTTCCAAGCGTTAAGAAAGAAGCTTAATAAGCAAAAAGGACAGGGAATTACGTGTATATAAAAAGGCAGAGGCCCTTACGGGACCCTGCACTTCAAATCCTTTCCTCCTAAAAGGAAATTAACCGGAATAACCTTACACCGTGCCTATCCCTTCTACCTGCAACACCTTTGTTTTTTACCGCTTTACTTTTACAAGCTTCCGGTTGCTACCAATTATAAGTAATACAAATAATAACCTTTTCGTAACAATGCTGCTTAAAAACCAAAAGCAATGGTTTACGTAATCCACGGCGTTTCGTTAAAACGCATTAATTTTAAGGATTTGGAATTAAATTAATTTTAATTTAAAGTTCCCGAACAACGTGCAAGCCAACGAAACTTTAAATTTTAACGTTTTTGCAGCAAAAACCCGGGCCAAGCACGTTAAAAACCATAAATTTAAACGTTTGGCTTAGCAAACGATTTTTACAACCGAAAAAAAAAAGTTCGTTTAAAAATTTAACAAAGCAAAAGCGAAATTACGCAAAAATTTAATTCCGTGCTTTTTTAAGCCCTTTCCGTTTTTACCGAAAGTAATTTTAAAGCCAAGTATAAAAAAGCGTTTAAAGCAAAAAATACCGCGAACAAAACCGTTTCGAAAAAAATTATAACGCTTTTTAAATGGATTAACTTTTCCGTAAATTTTATTGCGCTTGCAAACGCGCAATTAAAAATTTAAACCAATAATTACGTTATTTTCCGTAATACCATTATTTGCTTAAAAACGTTTTACGCTTTTACTTTTATAATAAAAATTTAAATAATTTTTTAAAAGTACCGCAATACGTTTAAAAAAGCCGTTAATATTACAAACGTTAACCAATAATTTCCGAAATTTTAAGCGATTTTTATTTAAACCAAAATTAAAAACGTTTTTAAAGTACAAAGCTTTACGTTTATGTTTAATTTTTTTAAATATATGGAACGCTTTAATCCTTTTTAAGCAAAGCGTTACCGTTAAAAAGTAATTACGGGCAATTTTACGGGAAAAATAAATACTTTAATTACCAAATTTTTAACGATTTTCCTTTAACACCGCATTAATAATTCGGGTACCAAAAAAAAGCTTGCGTTTTTAACTTTTGGGGGCGCATTTAAAAATAAAAACAAAAAAGTTAAAAGCATTTAACAAAATAACGCAATAACGTATAAATTCCCGGTTTGCATTTAAAACCATTTTTAAAAGCCGAAAAATTATTAAAAGTTTGTATACGTGCTTACCGGCAATTCCGGACGCTTTTGCAATAAACCAAGCAATAAAAAATGCAAAAAAATTAAAAAGTTTTTAGAAAAAAACCGTTGGAAATTATTTAAAAAATCCTTTTTTTTTTAAAAGCAAATTTAAAAATTTCGTTTGGGGGAAATAAACCAAAAGCGCGTTAAATTCCGGTTTTCGAACTTTAAAAAAAAAGTGGAATTTAAACGCGGCCGTATTTAAAATGCTTTTATTTAAAAGCGTTTTTTCGGCTTTTAATATTATAAAAAACATTTATTTTAAAAGTACGTTATTTAATAATTGCGGTTTACTTTATATCGTTAATAATAAAAAGCGCTTTAATAAAAGGTCGTTTTAATTGTTAAACGGTACCAAAACGGTTTAATACAGCATTTAATACCTTTCAATTTTGGAACGAAGCATTCGTACGCTTTTTAACTTTTTAAACGGAAATAAAAACTTTAAATTTTACAACGTTGCTTTGGTAAAAGGCTTCTATGTTAATATTATTTCGAAAGCCCGTTTAAACGCTAAAAGGGTATGGTTTTGCGGGAAAAACGCAATTTTGCGCATAAAAAAAATTACCAACGAAATAGTAATTAAACGCTTTTAGCGCAAAAATAACGTAATGTTTTATAAATACAAACCCGTTGCTATTTACTTTATATTAATTACGTTGCAATTTTTCCCCGGTAATACGGTTTTAACTTTTGCAATTAAAAAATTTTCCCGCTGCAAGCGTATTACGCATACGTAACGTCCAATTTCGAACTTTACGAAACCGCAAAAAAATACCGCTAACCTTTAGCATTTGCGCAATGGTTATTTAGGATTACAAACGTTGGAAGCTTTCGTTTAAAACGCCCGGAACGTTAAAATTAAAAGACCCAAACGGATTAAATGCGAAGCATGCGCAATAATTTACGCTACAACCGTTATTTCCAAACGTTTTATAAAAAAGGCCATGCGCCCTTTTTAAAAGGTTTGGTTTAATTTATTTAATTATTTTAAATTAAAATTAAGGATAAATTAAATTTTGCTATTAATAAACAAATATAACGGCAAAACTTAAAGCTTTACATTTTTAAACAAAAAGGAATTAACGGTTATTAAAATTTTAAAAAATAAAAAACGTAAATAAAAAACAATACAAATTGTTTATTGCTACTTTTAAATATAACCAAAAAAAGTCCATTATATTTGTAAAAGGATTTTTAAAATACAAAAAATAAGTTTAAATTAAAAGCATTATTATCGAAACTTTACCGTTATATATTTACAAACCCAACGGGATAATTAAGCGCACGGGATAAAACGTTATTACGAAAGGGATACGCATGCGCAAAAGCGCAAAACTTTTTAAGCATTTATAACAAAAAACGGTTTATGCTGCCGTTTAGCTAAAAAATATAAATTTTTTACCGTTAAAAAGCATGCGCGCTTTCAATAATATCCTTTTAAATTGGTTTCGGGAATAATTCCGGCATTACGCTTTAAAGCTTTTTACGGGTTTAATAACCAATTTAAAACCAAATTAAAACGGCATTTACGCTTACAGGTACAAAATTTATCTTTTGGACGTAAAAAAATCCCATAACGCAAATTTTAAGCATTTTAAAATTAACCTTTGTGCCGGAATTAAATATTTAATGAGTTACCAAACCTTTAACATTTACCGGATTTAGGTTCCGTTAAAAAAAAAATAATAATTACGAAAAACGTTAAATTTAATAAAAAAAGCTTTTTTAAAAGCAAGCAAAAAAAGGACCCAATTAACGTAATTATTTATAATTTGTTGGTTAAATACAACGAAACGGAAAACCCGTTTGCAACCCGAAAAAGAATTGTAAATGCGCCAAAGCTTTTTTAACCGGAAAAGCTTTAAGCACCCATTTCCGTTACTAAGCATTAAAGTTAAAAATTAAAGGTAAAAAAGCCAGGTTTTATCGTAACCATAAAGGCTAAAACCGCAAAGGATTCGGTTAACGGGCCGGATCCAAACGCGCATAAATTTTTAATTCCAAATGCTTTAAAAAATAGTTATAAAGTAAAGCAAATGCGTAATACGGGCTTTTTACGTGTAAGCAATTCGTATTACGGTTTTATACGGTTTGGAAAAAGCGATAGCTTCCCGCCGGTAAAGGGTAAAAGTAACGACGAGCCCGAAAAACGGCTTTTAAAACCGTTAAAGCTTGCTTTACTTTATAAAGCAATAAACCGGTCTTTATTTACCTTAAAACCGGATATGCTAATTGCAACTACAAGCGGCACTTTTACGGCGCCTTTAATTGCAATACCAAAAGCGTTTAAAATTTTTAAAAATTTGTTCGAAGCAAACCCAAACGAGCAAAAAGCGCCGCCTTCCTTTTTTTTTGTTAAAAAGGGCAAAAGCTAACCCCGCAAAGGAACGGGCCTTTTGCTTTTGCCCAAAACCTTTTTTTTAACGCGCTTTTACCAAATTTGCCGATAATTACGTTTAAAGCAATCCGCGCCGCAACCCGAGCGGCCGCAAAAAAAAAAAAAAAAAAAAAAAGGGAAAGCAAGCAACGCAATAACTTTAATAACGCTATTTTTTGCTACGGTTTAGCAATAACGTTTAACGTTTCCAAACCGGAAATTAAAAACGTTGCTTTTAAAACAAATTTAATAAACGAAAGTTAATAAGCCTTTTTCGATACGTATTTGCTTAATTAACAAACGGCAATTAAAAAAAATAATTTAAATTATTGCCCGGTTTACGAAATAATTGCAATTGCCGTAACGAAAACATTAAAATACAATAGCTTTTAAAAAAACAAACGGTTATACCGAAACGAATTATAACAAATTCCAAAATTTTGGCAAAAGCTTAATACGCACCCGCATAAAAAAAAATTTAAATAATTTGCTTTCGGAAAAATTAATAAATTATTAAAAAAAGGAATTTGGAAAAAAATTTCGAAAAATTTGCTTAATGGCAAAGCTATTAATATTATTTAAGTATTTATTTACAAATTTAACGAAAACGGTTACATTACAAATTATAAATTTCGCGCTATAATTAAAGGTAATTAATAACCTAACGGTTTGGAAAAAGTTTACGCTATTACGTTTGCAACCAAAAGCTTTAAAATTATAATGGCAATTATAGCTTATTTCGATTTTAAAACGTACTAAATTAACGTTAGCAAAGCTTTTTTTTACGCAAAAATTAGCAATAATTATATACCCGTTTACGTAAAAAAAATTTTGGGTATTACCGAAAAAGGTACGTAGCCCGGTTTAAAAAAGCTTTATACGGGCTACGGGATTTACCGAAATTGTAATATTTATTTTTCGAAAAAACCTTTAAAAAGCTAAAGCTTACCCCGTTAACGGAAAAGCTTTATTTATTTAAAAGCACAAAACGTAAGGTTTTTTTTTTTTATACGTTAATAATATAATTATTTTAAACCGTGCTACGCATTTAAAAATGGCAGCGAAAATATTAAACGGTTTTAAAAAAAAGTACAAAATAAAAAAAAAACCATTTAAAATTTTCCTTGGGGTTTAAATTATAAAAAATAAAAAAGCACGAATAATAACTTTGCATTACAACTTTTACATTAATAAAATCGTTAATACCTTTAACTTTGGAAACAAAAGCGTAAAACGCTTTTTTTTGCTTAGCCAAACGTTTAAAAAAAATTTAAAGGTAGCAATACCCGCTAAAATTTTAACCATGCAAAAAAAAAATTGGGTTTATACTTTATACGGCCATTATTATCCGCCTAAACGTTGCTTTTGTAAGCGCGAAACTTTCCAAATACTTTACAAACCCAAACAAAAAGCATTTAAAAGCAGCAAACCATACCCTTTTGTATTTAAAAAGGTTAAAATCCTATTGCATCCGGTTAAAAAACGTTTTAAAATCCAACCATTTGCTTTTTGCTTTAAACGCTTTTTTTGCTAATAACAAAAAAACGAAAAAATTGTTTAAAAAATACGTTATGTTTTTATTTGGAAAACCCGTAGCGTAAAAAGCAAAAAAACAAGCTACCGTTACAACATCCATTACAAAAGCAAAGCTTTTAGCGCTTATAAAATTTAAAAAAAAATTATCGTTATGCAAAAGCTTTTCCGAAATTTGCGTTTGGAAATTAATATTTTTTAAAAACTTTATTATAATAACATACAAACAATTCGATTAGTAATTAAAAAAGGCACCCGCATTAATACGGCTTAAAAGTACGTAAATATTATAAACATGTAATTACGCTAAAAGTACCAAAAAAGAACGTTTAACGTAATATATTTTAAAACCGTTTTTATACCAACAAACGGGCTTATTAAAAATTTTCCGCTTTACAAATTTAAAACATTTAAAGTTGTTTTAAAATTGTACGACTTTTTTAAAAACGGGTTAGCAAATTTAATATGCAGCCAAAAACTTCGAAATAAACATTAAAAACGTATAACGTTTGCATAAAAGCATAACGCAAATTCCTTTTTTATTAATAAATATAAAGCATGCTAATTTTAAATAACAAAACGGCATTTAATTATAACGCATGCAATTTTTAAAAGCGTTGCACCTTTTTTTTATCCATTTTTCCTTTCCATTTTAGCTTAAGCCCTTACTTATTGTTTAATAAATAAAGGCATTTCCATAAAAGGAATAACCCCGAATTATTGCGGTTTTAATGCCATTTTTTTAATTTCCTTCGTTATTATTACCGTTTCCTTTCTTTTTTAAGGTTGGGTTACGAAAAGCAAAGTTATTTTAACGAAAAGCCTTTTTATTCCTTTTTTTGGCCTTATCCTTTTACTTACTGCCCGGTTTTAAATAAAGCTCGAAAAAATGGCTTACCACTTTTTTAAACTTTTTAATTTTAAAGCAAAAGCTTTTTAAAAGCTCGTTTTGGAATAAAGCGATTGCAATGCGCAATTCGGGCAAAAAAAGGAAAGGGTTGCAACGGTAATTGCTTTAAGCACATTAAATATACCGTAAAATATAACCATCCCAAAAGGTGCGCGCTATGGGCTTATTGTTATAAAAGCCCTAAAATTTTGTTAAAAAGCTTTTGGTATACCCATTGCATAAAACCGCGCGGAAAATAGTATTATCGAAAAAGCTAGCTAAAACGTTTTCGTTAAAAAAAAATTGTTGGTTTTGCTAAAAAAAAATATTAAATAATACTTTTTTTAAGAATTAAAACGGAAAAAAAAGGGGTAATTAACATAAAACCCGCAAAAACGGTTAAGAACGAATTAACCTGGTTATTTACCTTTGTTTTTTTACCCGCTTTGCGCTTCCGGGTATTGGGGGAAACGACGGGTTTATCGTTATTATCGTTATTTTTTTAAACAAACCAATTAATAAATTTATTGGAATTAAAATTAATTTTAATCGTTTAACGAACAAGCTAATTAGGCCCGAAGCTTTTGCTTGGTCCAGCCGGAGCGCGAAAAGTACCGGTTAAAAAAGGTGTGCGAAAAGTAACCGGAACAAGCGAAAGCTCGAAAACGGGTACGTAAGTGTTAATCGGGGTTTAATTAAAAAACGACTTAAAGCTTTTATCCGTTTAGCGTAAATAAAAGCCCGATTAAGCTTATCCGGCTTAACGCGCTTTTATTTTTTAAGCGTTATTTCAAGCCTTATCGCGGGCAACTTGCTGCTTCCGCGCATTTTCCAAATCCTTTTGCTTATCCTTTTTTTCGGCTTGCTGCATTTTTTTCCTTTTTTTAAACAGCGCTTTAATCGCTTGCTTAGCTTTAATTATAAAAATAGCTATAACCGCTTGCAAATCCGCTTTATACGCGTATAAAGCAAAGTTAGTAAAAGCGTAACAAGTTGGTAAAAAAGCAAAACGTTTTAACTTATTCCTTTTAGGTTTAAACCCGCGTATTTATTTTGCGCCGAAAGCGCTTCCGGGCAACCGCGCGCGTTTTTTTCCCATTAACAATTCCTATTTTCCAGCCAATTTGTTAGCATTGCACGATACTTCCAAAATACCGCGTTGCCGCGCAAAGCATTTACAATTATTTAATTTAAATTTGCAAGCATTTTAAAATTAGCAAAGGATTGGTACGGTCGAAACGAAAGGATCGGAACTTACGCTTTAAAAAGGAAATGGTAATAAAAAGGAAAAAAAAAGGCCGGAACGAAATGGAAAAAAAAGGTTTTTAACCCGTTACGCTTACTTATAATTAAAACGCTTGCTTCGTTACTTTTTGTAGCTAAAGCGCTTGCTTCGTTACTTTTAAAAACGGGAAGCACTTTCCTTGTTACCTTTTAAAGCTAATAATACCCTATCGTTACCTTTAAAAGCGCGGTAAGCTTCCAAAACTAACGCCATTTGCATAACAACCCTTTTTTTTTGTATTATTTACAAACAACCCAAAAGGTTTGCTTGGGGGGTATATTACAAAAAAAACAGTATAAATTGTAAAGGAAAGGTTTTAAGCAAAAATAGCAAATGCTTAAAGCATTCGAAAAGCGGTCCCTTTGCTTGAAAGCGTATAACGTTTCCAGGCATTAAAAGGGAAGCTTAGTAAGCAAGGAGGACGCGGGGGTTACGTGTATATAAAGGGCAAAGGCTCTTACGGAGCTTTGCACCTTAAATCCCTTCCTTTTTAAAGCTTATTAACCGGAATAGCCTTACACCGTGCTTATCCCTTCTACCTGCAACATTAATGCTATTAACGGTATTACAATTTACTTTTTCTTTCGCTTGCCGGTTTAATTCCATGCTAATACCTTTATAAACGATTTTATTGCACAAAAAGCCGCCGAAATCCGCAACGGCATAAAAAACGTTAAGTACCGGAATTTGGGCAATAATGCTAAAAGCAATAATGGATTGCTAAATATGCGCTAAAAATAAACCCAGCAAGCATTTTTTTACGGGTTGCTTTAACTATTGCTAACGTTTAAAAAGGCATGGCAAAAAGTTATTATAAATTTTATTGTTAAACTTTTTAAATTTAAAAAGCCTTTAACGGAAATACAATATAATAGCATATTAGTAATAATAAACAAACTTACAAAATATGCTTTGTACTTATTTTACAAAAAAAATAATAACGCGTTAATTTTAGCATACGCTTTTTTCCAATACGTAATAATAAATTACGAAATGCCGCAAAAATTAATTACGAACCAAAATAAGCTATTTACGAATAAATTTTGGAAAACGTTTACGGCGCTTTTCGAAGCAAAATACGCTTTATTAATAACATATTACCTTTAAACGAATAAATAAACGAACCGAACCAATAAAATAATAAAGCAATATTTACGCCATTATATTATTTACAAATAAAATAATTGGGTGCAATTATTACCAATTGCTTAATTTGCGTACAATAATTTTATACATAAAAGCATAAAGGAAACGCCGTTTTACGCTAATTATAAATATAACTTTACGGCGTATAACGAGCTTAAAGCTAAATTTAAAGCTTTAATAACGGAAATCCAAATAACGGAATTTACCAAATTGCATTAAAACTTTTAAAACAAATTAAAAACTTTGCGTTACCGAATAATAAAGCAAATTAATAAAAAAAGAATTAAAAAACCAACCTTTAAAAAAAGGGATAACGCTTACGTTTTACGCGCTAATATTAAAACAAAAAAGCTAAATAATAAATTGGATAAAAAAAATGGGAACCTTTTCGGGTTATTCGTATTATTTTTCCGGTTAATTATAAATTTTAATTATTATTAACCATGCGCATTTACCCGGGTTTTTACGTTTTTTTGCTAAAACCAGCGCTTTTAAGCCTTAAAAGCACCGAATTAGTAAAAATTAACCCTAACCAAAATAAAAGGTTAAAGCCATTTTTAACGAAAAAACGCATTACCGCAAAAAGCAATATTTCGTTAAATGGAAAGGATAAAAGGATAAATACAATATATGGAAAAACGCAATAAATTTTGGAAATTGCCAAAAAGCTTTGCAAACGTATCGTTTGGAAAAAAATTAACAATAATTTAAATGCTTGTAAAATGCCCCAAATTTGGAAAAAATTTAAAAAGCAAAAGAAAAAAACCCAATAACATATTTAAAGGATAAATTAGCAAGCTTGTACAAAAATGGTACAAAAAACATTTTTTAAAAAATGTTCCGTATAAAATCGCACCAGAAATCGAACCCAGGTTTTCCCGTTACAAAAATAAATGCGTTACCATTGCGTTATATAATTTGTAAAAATTGTTAAAAAAATTACAACTTACCGGATTAAAAAAAAGCGAACAATTTAAAATCGATACTAAACCTTAAGCTTTTGGAATTAGCAAAAAAAAGAAAAACAATAAAAAGCTAGCAAATAATTAAATACAAATTGCCCGGTTAATTGCTACGGTTGCACCGGGAATTAAACCCAAAACCTTTTGCTATAAAGTAAACGCGTTACCATTGCACCATACAACCGAAAAAAGTTATTAAAGGAATTACAATTTATTAAATTAAAAAAAAGCGGCCTCGTGGTGCAGTGGCTTTGCACCAGGCCGGCCCCGCCAGGACCACGGGTTCGAATCCCGTCGAAACCAAAGGGCTTTTTATTTTTAAGCCCCTGGCTTGCCAGGATCGAAATCCAATAAGGGCCGATAAGCCAAATTAACCAAAAACCAATAACGCCGATAAAATAACCGATAACAATTACAACAACCTTATCGATTTCGATAGCAG